TTGAGCTCGTTATTTTCTCATAATTATCAGACTGTCAGGACGCCTCATTAACGACTAATTATCTTACAATTAAGAACGAGGCAGGTGAGAAATAAGTTGTTGCTGAAAATTACTTTATTTTTCAACACACACTAGTTTCGACTTTTATGGCAACTTGTTTTTGGGTAACAAGTTTTGAAGGAATCGATGCATTTGAAACTAATACCCTGTTGACTAGCAGAAACAAGTATTTGGGAATAAGGGATAGAAATACGGTGGCTTCGAGGGTGGCTTAATGGAGGATCCATTCCATTCTATTGCATTTTCATTGATTGCTTTAAAAGAAGTTCAGTTGCATAAAAAGCGAGGGGTAAACCACTATTGGAAATCATTGTACATTTTTCTGGAAATTACATGGTAATCAATCAAGAATACATGTAAATCAACTGAGAATCTCTTAGGACTTCATGGGAATCACATAGGAATCCATTGGCAATCGCTGAGAATCATGTGGTAATCGCTGGGAATATCATCTCATTCTAACCCAGAAATCATACATTTTAAACGATACAACGTTGTGAATTTGCTTTTTAAGTCCCCACAGACTGCGTTTTTCTCGGCGTTTTTGTTCGACGGTTTTGTTCGACGAGCAAATCTGGTCGAGCAAAAACGACTGATCGCAGTTGCAACATATAGACCTCAGTTCAGTTTGGCGAACATCAGTCATGTTGGAAAGTTTAATTATTTTTTATTTTTAAATTTTAATAACACAAAACCTCGCACAAAACTCTGTAGCTACGCACCACACACCACAAACAACCGTCGTTTTTGAAATTCGTAGCCCACATTCAGATTTGTTGACATATCGAACATTTCCGACCAAGTGGTAAACCACCATCCCAGAATTGGAGCAAACAATTCCTCAAAGGGAAATTTTTTACGCATAATTCCTCAAAATTCCTACAAATTCCTCCAGATATCCCATCACAAATTCCTCCGAATACCACACAACTTCTCCAAATACACCACAAATTCCTCTTAAAAAAGAGAACATTTTGAAACTTTTTGTACGTAAAGAGGAAGGTGAGAAACTCATTTTCCCAAAATTTCAAATTTTTCCAGTGGAAAACAGCAACATGCATTTTCTTGGAAATCAACCTACAAAAACTGAATTAGTAGAAAATACACTCTCACACATTTCAAAATTTTCCTAGAAAACTAGTAAAGGGAAAATTTTGAAACTTTTCGCATGTAAAGAGGAAGGTGAGAAGCTCATTTTCCCAAAATTTCAAATTTTTTTAGTGGAAAATAACAACATGAGAAATATTGGAAATCAACCTACAATAACTGAATTAATTGAAAATACAGTCTCACATATTTCAGAGTTTTCTTGGAAAAGTAGTGAAGGGAAAATTTTGAAACTTTTTGCATGTAAAGAAGAAGGTGAGAAGCTCATTTTCCCAAAATTTCAAATTTTTCCAGTGGAAAACAGCAACATGAAAAATCTTGAAATGAAAATGAACCTACAAAAACTGAATTACATGAAAATACAGTCTTACACATTTCAAAGTTTTCCTGGAAATCTAGTCAAGAGAAAATTTTGAAACTTTCTGCATGTAAAGAGGAAGGTGAAAAGCTCATTTTCCCAAAATTTCAAATTTTTCCAGTGGAAAATAACAACATAGGTGAGGAATATTGGAAATCAACCTACAATAACTGAATTAATTGAAAATACAGTCTCACACATTTTAAAGTTTTCCTGCAAAATTAGAGAAGGGAAAATTTTGAAAATACAGTCTTGGTGCGTTTTCACACGATACCATACGCGATACCATATATTGCTGGCGATTTCGGTAAACAGCTTTCACACAGAGCGATTATCGCGCTACCATTGAAAAGCCATTAATTTGATTAAATTCGCGATGTTGCCGTTCAGTCCATTATAAACGTGTAAATTTCCATCCAAGCTTTCCCCCGTTTAATTTTATCCTTATATTCCTCAGTTGTTTTGTCCCAGATGTATGGTCTTTGTTCAATTAATTCAATTAGGTCCAGAGGATCAAACGCGTACTGAACCCTTTTCGCCATCTTGCAACGTTGTCGACTGAAGTCTGAGCGATTTATAGTTTTGCGTGTGAAGACAGGCATATACTTGCACAAACGAGTTAAATCGCAACGATAAAATATTGCGCGATATCTGTAGAACATATTGCGTGTAAATGCGATATAGCGCTATTGCTATCATCAATTTTATGGTATGGCCGTCGTGTGAAAGCGGTTCATTTAAAAACCCACAATTTTGGTGCACCGCGATATAGCGACCAATTACTGCTTGCGATATATAGCGCCATGTGAAAACGCCCTTACACATTTCAAAGTTTTCCTGAAAAACTAGTAAAGGGAAAATTTTGAAACTTTTTGCATTTAAGGAAGAAGGTGCGAAGCTCATTTTCCCAAAATTTCAAATTTTTCCAGTGAAAAACAGCAACATGAAAAATCTAGGAAATCAACCTACATAAACTGAATTAGTTGAAAACACAGTCTCACATATTTTAAAGTTTTCCTGGAAAACTAGACAAGGGAAAATTTTGAAACTTTTTGCATGTAAAGAGGAAGGTGAGAAACTCATTTTCCCAAAATTTCAAATTTTTTCAGCGGAAAATAACAACATAAGGAATATTGGAAATCAACCAACAATAACTGAATTAATTGAAAATACAGTCTCACACATTTTAAAGCTTTCCTGGAAAACTAGAGAAGGGAAAATTTTGAAAATACAGTCTTACACATTTCAAAGTTTTCCTAAAAAACTAGTAAAGGGAAAATTTTGAAACTTTTTGCATGTAAAGAAGAAGGTGAAAAGCTCATTTTCCCAAAATTTAAGATTTTTCCAGTGAAAAACAGCAACATGAAAAATCTTGAAAATCAACCTACAAAAACTGAATTAGTTGAAAATATAGTCTCACACATTTCAAAGTTTTCCTGGAAAACTACTGAAGGGAGAAATTTGAAACTTTTTGCATGTGAAGAGAAAGGTTAGAAGCTCATTTTCCCAGAATTTCAAATTTCTCCAGTAAAAAATAACAACACGAGGAATCTTGGAAATCAACCTACAATAACTGAATTAGTTGAAAATACAATCTCACATATTTCAAAGTTTTCCTGGAAAACTAGAAAAGGGAAAAATTTGAAACTTTTTGCATGTAAAGAGAAAGGTTAGAATCTCATTGTCCCAGAATTTCAAATTTCTCCAGTGAAAAATTACAACATGAGGAATCTTGAAAATCAACCTACAAAAACTGAACTAGTTGAAAATACAGTCGCACACATTTGAAAGTTTTCCTGGAAAACTAGTGAAGGGAGAAATTTCAAACTTTTTGCATGTGAAGAGGAAGCTGAGAAGCTCATTTTCCCAAAATTTCAAATTTTTCCAGTTGAAAACAGCAACATGAAAAATCTTGGAAATCAACATATAAAAACTGAATTAGTTGAAAATACAGTCTCACACATTTTCCTGGAAAACTAGTGAAGGTAAAATTTTGAAACTGTTTGCATGTAAAGAGGAAGGTGAGAAGCTCCTTTTCCCCAAATTTCAAATTTTTCCCGTGGAAAATAACAACAGATGGAATATTGGAAATCAACCTACAATAACTGAATTAATTGATAATACAGTCTCACACGTTTCAAAGTTTTCCTGGAAGACTAGTGAAGAGAAAGTTTTAGAACTTTTTGCATGTAAAGTGGAAGCTGGGAAGCTTATTTTCCCAAAATTTCAAATTTTTCCAGTAGAAAACAACATGAAAAAACTTGGAAATCAACCTACAAAAACTGAACTAGTTGAAAATACAGTCTCACACATTCCAAAATTTCCCTGGAAAACTAGTAGAGAGAAAATTTTGAAACTTTTTGCATGTAAAGAGGAAGGTGAAAAGCTCATTTTCCCAAAATTTAAAATTTTTTCAGCGAAAAACAGCAACATGAAAAATCTTGGAAATCAACCTACACAAACTGAATTATTTGAAAATACAGTCTCACACATTCCAAAATTTTCCTGAAAAACTAGTGAAGGGAAAATTTTGAAACTTTTTGCATATAAAGAGGAAGGTGAGAAGCTCATTTTCCCAAAATTTCAAATTTTTCCAGGGAAAAACAGCAACATGAAAAATCTTGAAAATCAGCCTACAAAAACTGTGGGCTTTTTTTTTTGAATTTTTTAAATTTGGACCTGTAAATCATGTAGTGTAATTTTGGGAGGATTTCTTTAATAAAAATGAATATCCAACGTCCAACACAAAACTAGTTTTTTTGTGTTGTGAATGTGAACCTCAGTGATGTCATGACTCTACAATTTCCTTTAAATTCCTCATAAATTCCTTCAAATTCCTTATAAATTCCCGAAATTCTCATAAATTCCGATGAGTTCCTTCAAATTCCCCACAAATTCCTCTAAATTTCCCACAAATTCCTCTAAATTCCTCACATTTTTGGCAAAGTATTCCTAGGTGGTTTGCCCCTTGATTTATACCTACAACAAAATCGGTGTTGGTGTGGCATGAAAACAAAAGTTGCTAACTGTTGGAAGAGTTGCAAATACGGAAGTTGCCAATTTTCCAGTGAAAACGTGTTTTTATGAGAGAAAAGACGGCTTATTTTAACAGTTAGACATCGTTTCCGTAATAAAATCCGCTGGAAATCGGATGCTTGTATAAAATCATTGAGGAAATCAGGTACCTAATCAATTGGGAATGATGGAAATCCCTAGAAAAAATGAAATCACCTGGAAATCATACAAAAATATCTGAAAATCATTGGCAATCAGTCACAATTCTTGGGTGGGAATACATAAAATTCATTGATCAGTGATTGCCAAACTAGGAAATCATTGTATTTACATTTGTAAGCATAGTGGTTGACTCCTCGATAAAAAGTGCTTTAAAAGCTTCACAATTAATTTATGAACCTACTCTAGTATGAATTTTACCTAATGTCATGTCAGCAGTTACTTCAACTTTGACATTGAATCAAAAAGTATCAAAATTTTCAATTTTAATTCCAAATAAGGCAAAAAAATGGTTCTAGGAAAAAGGGTAACAAGAATCCTCAGCAATCTGTGTAAAAAGAGCCGCATGTTAGTTCAGCATAATTTTTCCGAAGCTTCAGAACAAGATAGCGCGTCTGAGGAGGAAAATGAAGCTTACTTTGATTTCGAAGAAAAGACTGCAATCGTAAATGGAGGAGCTTCCGGCATTGGGTTTGAAATAGCAAAAGAATTTCTTCAAAGAGGTAAGTACATCCAAAATTGTTTCGATATGAGTATTTCAAATATACTTTTTAGGTGTGCCTCATTTGTCCATAATCGACATAGATGAACAAGAAGGCGAAAAAGCATTGGCAGAGCTAGCGCATGAATTTGGCGAAGACAAGGTATTATTTTTCGAAGCAGATGTCGCAGATGCAGTTCAGCTCGACGACGTTTACAGAAAATCTATACAGTATCACGATGTGCCGGATTTGATAGTCAATAGCGCGGGAATCATGAACGATACAACGTGGGAAAAACAAATTCAAACCAATATGACTGGGTAAAAAGGTCTCTTTTAACAAAACAGCCTTTTGCATTTGTAATTTTAGATGTGTTGTCGGTACCCTTCTGGGTCTTCAATATATGTCAAAAACTAGCAAAGGCTATGGAGGAATCATAGTAAATGTTGGCTCCATTTTGGGAATAATACCTTCGTCTGGCTTTCCACTTCACACAATGACACAATTTGGAATTTGTGGGTTTTCAAAGGCTCTTGGATGTGGTAAATTTTGTTTACTTTGAAATGAAATCCATTAGATTTTTTTTTTTAATAAACAAATTATATCTACACCTGCACTTATGGGGCGTTATTTTTAGAAAGCGAACATATTTTAGGCAATCATATCAGCAGAACCGGAGTGAAGGTGTTTGCAATGTGCCCAGGCCTAACAGAGACCCGATTATTAAATGCTGCACCTGCCAATGCTATAAACAATAATTTCGCAAAAGAATTTGTTGATGAAGTGTATGGTTCGAGTCCACAAAAAGTAAATTAAATTTTTAATCAATAGAATCGTAATTTGGAAAAACTTTCAGGCAAAAAGTGTAGCTAAAGGACTGTCAGACATAATAGACGAAGCTAAACCAGGATCAGTATGGGTAGTAGAAAACGACAGTATTCCCTATGAGGTTACTTATCCTGGAAATATTCTCGAAATGAGAAAAGAAAAAGATAAAGAAAACATATCAGCCACGTCAGAGGCCACGTCTGTCCATAATTGAATGTGTCAAAACATACAGATTTTTTTAGAGATGCTTAAAATATAACACTTGAACCTATTATCACAATCAATTCAATAAACGTTAATCAATTTGATAGAAAATTTTCAATGTTTGAACAGATTAATTGATAAAAACGAGAAAAAAAAACACAATTTCAGCTTTGATGTTATAAATGTGCCAAGCCAAGTGTCCTCTTTCATTCACATTAAGCATTTTATGTTTGTATACAGACCACACCTGGCTTGATATACATCAAAGTTGAACGCACAAGACCACAATGCAAATTTTCTCCGCTTAACGCACTCACACACAGAAGGGAATAAAATACCAAAGCTTCTGAATGCATACTAAGTGATCACAAATCTTGGCAACTATTTTACAATTTGTTGTTTGGTCTTTTAGTTAAGGATTAGTAAATATTTTCGAGTTGCTTTTGGCATGAAATCAATACATACCTACTTGATTCATCATCATTATTAAATCTACAAAGTTGGATCATGTTATTGGATCCCTAATGTCTGGGTAATCCAACTCCTACCTGTCTAATCTACATAGCGAAATTCAAGAAACTAGAAAAATATTGGATTTATTTAAAGCCTCTTTCCTTACTAAGTTAGGCCTCTATCAAGGTCCGACCTTGACTTACTGTGGCTTCCGTTTATGCATGAAATATTTTTATCTATATACCGTTTTAACTGTATGGTTTTTATTGGTAATTTACCAAGCGAATACGATAGTGAAATGCATTAATTTTTTTTGCTAATACATATTAGCTTTGAAAAATATGGTAACTTTTCATGGAGTAATTTTTTTGTTGGTTTATGAGATTTATTCGATTTATTTTTCAATAAATGACATTTTGTTCAACACAGCTGACTAATGGCGTTTCCGATTGGTAGATCTAGTGCGGAACTAGTGCAATTTTTTCTATTTCTGCCTTTTTAATGCCGGTTTTCCACCAAACCGACAAAACAAAAACAAAACTTAAACTCAGACTTTTCCCAAACATTTTCAAGACTAGCGTGTTTTGCAACAGTTGGAGTTTTGTTTTTCGGCTCTCGTTCGGAAGCGGTGAATATGAAACTCAAACACAGACTCGAGTCTGTTCAGTTCTGTTTTTATTTTAAAACATGTTTCAAAACACAAACTCAACAGTCCGTTTGGTGGAAAACCGGCATAACAGAAACATGCTGATAAAAGACTTGAATGTTTATTCAGAAGTTTTCAGTATTTAAGTACCTAGGCCTAGCTATTACACCTGACATCAAAGAGAACTAAATTTAAATGAATGTGTGGCTATGATCCCTGGAAATAGAATAGGAATTGGAAAAAAAAATTTATATGTATATACACAGATACCAAATTCAAAGGGCGTATTTTTGGAAATATTGCAAAGTTGTTCTATTTTTCGTTGGGGGAATTTGCAGGTATTCTTGGACCTTCTTTGATCTTTCAAAAAAAGAGTCAGGAGTAAGTATTGTATTACAGAAAGTACAATTTATGATGGATAGGGCAATAATGATATTGCTCTTTATTTTTTCCCATTTGAGTCGCCTCACCTTTTATCTGAGAATAACTTGCAAAGTACACCTACATATTTCACAGGAATCGCTGAGAACTGATATTTTTAAGTCTCATTTTAAGTAGTTGATGTTGTTTCATTATACTGCATGCAAAAACATTTTACAGGTAAATATCACAACAACAAAGATGTAGGTTTCCCTGGGAAACTTTAATTTTTTCAATGATCATCCCCTACTCTGAAATTTTCTAAAAAAAATTCAAAGGCTCTTTTATCAATCTAGCTCAGATTCCATAAGCCAAATGTTTTCATTACCAAAACTTCTATAGTAGTTAATATTTCTTACCTCTTTAACTTTGTCCCGTTTCCTCCGCACAGATTCCTCCCGGTCCTTTCCTCCTTGTCTCATAGGATAAATTTGTGCTGGAGCAGGCGGTACAGTGACAGCTTCCGGAGCCAAAATTTCATCAATTTGATTGATGGGTTCGTTGAGCGAATCTGGTGCATTGAGAGGTGGATTTCCTGTTGAGCTTCTTTTGGGTACTACAATTGCTTGGTCTGGTCGTTCTAAGACTTTCAATTCGCGGTCTTCTTCGATTTTAGCCTGAAAATTATAGGAATTGATTGGTAGAGGAAAAATATGTCTTCTCTTCTACCGCTGCATGATTCAAATCAAATCAAATCAAAAACAGCTTTATTGAATGAAGACCAATACAATCTTATTATCAAAGCACTATAATCATAATCCAATATAAATTCTTAATTCTACATAAATAAATATACTTAAAACAAACACGGTATGATACTAAACAAACACTAGTTAAAAGAAATATTGAAAGTCACGCTAAAAACAGGTAATAATAAATTTGGTTGAAGTTTAAGACAATGAACTAATATAGGTACAGGGTTATTGGTTATAAATGTCACCCCCCTCTATCTTTTTTATTTGACATTTTAGAAAAAAGTGTCCCAAATAAAAAATTTATGGTTGAAATAAATTTTTTTGAAAAACTCACTTTTGCATATACAGAGTGTATCAAAAAAGCCGGTAGTGCTCTTACTTTCTTATTTTAAGTTGAATACCCTATATACCTATTATTCAATATTCGGATTCTACGTCAAATTCTGAGCAGATTTTATGTGATACCCTATACCTAGGTTCAACTGTTTTGGAAATATTGACAGTTGAAAATTGACTTTTTTGCAAATTTGATAGGCTGTAAAACCTAAACGGAGTACTTTTCAGCAAAACCGATCTTAAATTTTTTTCTAAGATTTTCACAAGTTATCATTTGACTCTAACTTTGAATTTAACCGAAGATTAAATTTAATTGGAATTTCCAATCATGGATTAAATTCAAAGTTGATGTCAAATACTGGTGTCAACTGATGGTCCATAGAATTCTAAGACAAAAATGTAAGATCGGTTTTGCTCAAAAATTAACCGTTTAGGATTTACAGCCTGTCAAAGTTGCAAAAAAGTCAATTTTCAACTGTCAATATTTCGAAAACAGTTGAACTTAGGTACAGGGTATATCACATGAAATCTGCTCAGAATTTTACGAAGAATCCGAATATCTAATAATATACAGGGTATTCTATTTAAAATAAGAAATTTGGAGCACGACCAGCTTTTCTGAAACACCCTGTATATACGAAAGTGAGTTTTTCAAAAAATTTAATTTCAACCATAAAACTTTTATTTGGAACACTTTTTTCTAAAATGTCAAATAAAAAAGATAGATGAGGGTGACATTTATAACCAACTAGCTAATGACCCGCTGCATTGCCAGCATGTAAATACATTTTGAAATAATACACTTCTTTTCAAATATTGTTGTTGATTTTCTATTTAATATTTTTTTTTTAATCCGATATCATAGTCGCTTGCCAGTGAGTTCAGTGACGCATTTTAAGCACTCCAGAGCTGCTCTAGAGCGCCCCGGGCTGTTTATAGGCGTGCCAGTGTATCAGAGTTTTACGCAACCGCACGTTTTTTTTCGGGATAAAAAATAGCCTATATCATTCTCCTCTATAGCCGATTCGATTGACCGGATTAGATCGATCTGGTTCAATTTAAGTGAACCACACTGTGTTCGATTCAAGCTGGATCAGTGCACCCTCATCAACAAAAAAATGATCTGATCAGAAGAAGTTCACTTAAATTGAACCCAAATCGATCTAATCTGGGTTAATCGAATTTACCTTATATAGAGATACGTGGTATTAATTCAAGATCGGTCCAGCCGTTCTTGAATTCAAAAAATAATAAAGTTACGTCGGTTGAATGCAAGCCTAAATAAATAAAATATGGCAACGTTGTTTCATGCTGTCAAAAAAAGTTGGGTTATGTTGTTATGTAATGTGAATGAGTTTGTTTACAATTAAATTAATAATTAATTCAAAATTAATTTCTTTTTCCGAGATGCGTAACCTATCCACAAACCTTCCTTGGGATGGCCATAACAACCTACCAAAGTTTCATCGGAATCGGATAATTGGTTTTGGAGCGCATATCCGGATACCCCGTGAACTTTGATTTTCATATATATAGATAACCCTGTACACATATTACCTATAATTGTAAGGCAAAGTCAAACGAAGTAAAAGTAAATCGAGAAGTAAATAAACGCTAGTTCAGGGAGTCATTGAAAAATTCTTCGATTGAATAGTAGACTTTCTTAATCAATAAATCCTTTACTTCAATTCTGAAGCGCTTCCTATTCTGAATATTTCTTATATTCAAAGGCAGACGGTTGAAAAGCTTTTTGCTGTTATAAATTATGGATTTCTTTGTCAGGGTCGAAACGGGAATGAGGAGCGAAGCCACATGAGATGAACAAGTGACTGAAACCTCCGCAGTTGCAATCTCATCCTTATGGTTACTGTGCATTAGGCCAACAGTTTCAGCAATAAATATAATAAACCCAAAAACTTATTAACTTGCAAGCCCCTGCGAAAACAAAATGACATCCAGGATCCACACAATCAAATGCCTTAGGGCTATAGTATTATAAAGCTGGTGAACGGAAGATTGAGTTTAAACCAGCGGTTGAACTGAAATGTCCATATAAAATCATACGGAAATGTCAGTTCGACTGCTGGTTGAAAGTTAACCTTCGGTTCAGCAGCTTTATAATACTGGCCCTAAGACAGATCACAAAACACTTCCACGGCAACCTCTCCATCATTAAGTAAGTTGATTGTATAAATTTTGAAGGGAAAATTGCTAGGAAAATTGAGAATGTTAAGTACATAAGAAATCTATTTTACAATATTGGCAATAAACACTTGAATACACAGACAAGTTTATTTGAACACCAAGGAACAGCGTTTTCATGAGAACGATTGCTCTGTCATTGTCAGTGTTAGGGAAATATGAATACGAACGACGAAGACAGAACCTTCGTTCTCATAAGAACGTTGCTCTCCTGTTTCGAGAATAAAGTATCTGCTGAGAAGCTGAACTTAGCCGCTGGCACTGTCTGAAAAGTGGATGAAAATAGCTACTAAAATAGAGAGCATTTGTATCTGTATTTGTATAAACATCAGATCGAG